AATCACTCTAATCCATCACAAGAAGTGCTATAAAAAAAAAAAAATTAAATAAAAAAAAATAAAAAAAAAAAAAACCATCACATAGACAACATCAAATTCCTACGAAATGAAAGACTTTAAAATCTAAGCCATTAATGAAATAAAACTATACACACACATACACATATAGTAAATATATACTAATGCAAACATTCATGATATACTATGAGTAAGAGTAATTTTCACCTTGCAAAAATGACATCGTCATTAGTAAAAAAAAAAAAAATTAAGTTAAATAAGGACATTTAATTCTTAAGGATCGTTGGAATTTGTAGTTTAATTGATTGTAATTCATATACATACATATAGGGAATGCTGTTAGGGTAGTCGTAAAATAAAATATGTATATTGTATATAGCGTATTAAGCGAAACAAAAACCACAACATGAAAACTAAGCGACAAATGCAAGTTTTACTCAACAACAAAAATCTCAAATGTTAAAAATTTCATTTTCAGTTCTTTGCTTTTCCGTCTCAGAAACACACAGATAAAAAAAGTTAATAACTAACTTTAGCAAAGCTAATCGTTGTAAAAAAAAAAAAAAAGAAAAACAAAAACAAAAATAATCCAAAATTTCAAATAAATTAAAGAAAATGAAAAAAAAAAATAAGATCAAGAAAATTACAATTGTAGCAATATGAAGCAAAGAAAACTCGGTATGTTCTTATGAAAGTAACATTAACGAATTAATTTAAAGTCTTATTAACGGAATATGAGAATTTTACTGAATAAACAAACAAAAAACAGAATGAAAAAAATATTTCCATTGACTGACAAATTGAATGGTCTATCAAAATCTTTTTTTTTTTTTTTTTTTTTTTGATGAAAATATTTATTTATTATCATTAACAAGAGTATTTGATTTTAAACAGAATTTATATACAATTTATATTTACTTTGAACGTGTATTAATCCTTTCAGTTAATTTATTAAGTTATGCAATCAGCGGTCGTGCCAACAGGTATGATAATTATTTGCTTTATTTATTTATAACTTATCGTGTTTGAAGAAATATTATAAGGTTTTTTTTTAATAATTTAAATATGCTGAATTTAATAATTCAAGAGGCGGGGAGGAAGTGAATACCATTTAAGTTAAAGCTGCAGATAAAGTTAGCTTTGTTTTAGCTAAATTTAAAAATTTATATTTTTTATAATTTTCCCTGGCTCGTTAGCTTGAAATAGCTAGGTTAGCTCTGATGCTGCGAGGCAACGCAATCGCCTATTCGTTTACTTTTACCCGTAGTTTTCCAAATGTTCAGCTGGATTGTCACAATTCTCTGAGAACTTGTTTCGACGGTAAACTAGTTTAAAATTGAATTCAGTTCGATAACAGCCGATGCCCAGTAGCTTCTGACCCGATGTGAATTAACAACCAGTTGCATTACAAATCAGTGCAGTTGGCTTACAGATATTTACTCTTATTTTTGCTTTTATCGCTCCATTACATTTATTTTTACCATACCTTTATTCCCTTCCGCCAATGCTAATTTGGTTGGCCCACCCACTGAAGAGTCTGACAGGCAACGGCAACGGCAGCTGTCGTCAAGCTTGCAAGATATTTATGTCGTGTGTGCGAGAGCTTTGCGAAAGCTTTTTCAGCTTTCGCTCAGCATATTAAGCTCGGAACAGCGCTCAGGCAATGCAGTAAGCGCGCTCAGCTCGAACGTTACGGTGGTTCAGCGACTCAAAGATAAAGATTTTCAAGTCCAAATCGAATATTTTCGAAATCTAAAAGTTAAGAAAAAAGGCAAGTCATGTTTACGGTTAGGCTGCTGGCTCTGTGCTTTATCAGCTGGCTGGGCGTTAATGCCAAGCTGGAGGAACGGTTCTCGTGGAAGCAGCTGACCTTCGATTGGCCCAGCGCCGAGGCTGAGGCGGAGGCCAAGCAGAGCGGCCACTACATTGCAGAGAACAATTTGCCACTTGGCGTGGAGCGCTGGGAAAACAAAATCTTTGTCACTGTGCCAAGGTAGGTGACCAAACAAAAAATATAACCAAAAAAAATGTGCGGCTATTAAGCACACTGTGTACTTTTTTTTATATGTGTATATATTTTTATTTTGAAAGCGGGGGATTGCGAAAAACCAATTGAGATTGACTCAAAAACCGGTTACTTTTTTGCTGTTGTTTTTGTCTTTAGCTCTTTTTTAGTTTACAACTATTTGCATTTTAGATTACTGTTATGCAAATATGACAATAACTTGATTTATGCCTAAGCTAAATGTTTGAAACGAATTGGTAGCATATATACTACCTGGGTATATATATTTTGATTTTGATCTTTGTCTATGTGAAATTGCTCATCAAGCTTGGTGTGACGTCATCATAGCTTGGTGATTTACCTACTTTTATCAAAACAAAGAATTCATTGGTATAATAAGCTATGAAAAATGACTTCTATAGAAATCAAAATATAATTATAATAACAACATAGTTAATTTTAGCAACAAGGAAGTTATAAAAAAATATTTAAAAAAATAAAAAAAAACTAAATTAAATTAAACAAACAAATAGAAATTCGTTACCAAATTGAATTTTAGTTTAACTAATTCATTATATCTCTCTCTCTGTCTCTTTCTCTTTTTCTCTTCCCTCTGCCTCACAGATGGAAGGCCGGTGTTGCAGCCACCTTAAACTACATTGATCTCTCGACAACTGAGAAATCACCAAAGCTACGTCCCTATCCCAGCTGGGAGGCCAATAAGCTGCCCATCGATGTGCAGCCACAAGAGCAGAAGACGCCATCTGGCGGACGTTTGGATGCGGACAAGGCGCAGGATGTTGGCGTTCAATTGCAGAACAATGCAACAATCATTTCCACTTTCCGTATAAGCGTTGATGTCTGCGATCGCCTCTGGGTGCTGGACACTGGCCTGGCCGATATCTTGGGCAATCCCAAGCAAATTACACCCAGCTCGATATTGGTATTCGATCTGAAGACAGATCAGCTGCTGCGTCGCTTTGCCATACCCGCCGATCAGAGCAAGGAGGACACATTCTTTGCCAATATTGTAAGCCAAGTCAGGCTACACATTTACTTAAATAATAACTTTGATATTCTTTTCTATTCTAGATTGTCGATGTGGACCGTGAGCAGTGCGAGGATGCGTATGCCTATGTTCCAGATTTGGGCGCATACGGCGTTATTGTCTACTCGCTCAGGGATGACAAATCGTATCGAGTGAAGCACAATTACTTCCACTTTGATCCGCTGCAGGGCGATTTTAATGTGGCCGGCGTCAACTTCCAATGGACCGATGGCGTCTTCGGCATGGCCATTGGGCCCTTGAATCCGGATCATACCAAGGACGTGTATTTCCATGCCCTGGCCAGCACCAAGGAGTTCAAGGTCTCTAATCGTGTGCTCCAAAACGAAAGTCATGTGAATGGCGGCGATTCGTATTATGATTTCAAGCTGATCGGTGATCGCGGCATGAACGGACAATCGACAGCCGAATCGTATGATAAGGAGACGGGCGTACTCTTCTACACGCAGGTGAACAAAGATGCCATCGCCTGCTGGAATGTGAAGCGTCCATATACGACCGACACGCAGGGACTAATCGAATCCGATTCGCATACTTTGGTCTTTCCCAACGACCTGAAGGTGGACAACACTGGCAACCTCTGGGTGCTATCCGATCGCATGCCCACCTATCTGTACAAAGAGTTGGATCACAATGAAGTCAATTATCGTATAATGACGGGCAAGACGGCTGATCTTATCAAGGGTACACCATGTGAACTCTAATATTAATATATAATATAATCTATATAAATATTCTTCTATATTTCTTTTTGAAATGTATTTTTTAAATATAAAATTTCACTTAATAAAGTGTTYAAGTCTATCTGAATGCACTGTGCCCTAAGTTCTAAATATCAGATTTCAGCAAATTATCAGCCAGCTGCACCTTCTCGCCCGGCTTAAAGGCTGGCATGCCCAGATAGGGGCAAGTGGAGCATCTAAACGCATCGCCCAGATAACACTGCAAAAAAACGAAAGAAAAAACTAGAGATTAGATTTTGTTTACAGACATATAAATAAAATATGCATATAAAATATGTACCAAAACATTATTAAATAGTGTATAAACTGTATTTGCTAAAGACTTAACGGATATTAAGTTCACAAAGTAAAATAATAAATACAATAATAAATAACCAATTTTATCTGAGGAATCTGATAGAGGCTTCAATATAAACATAGATAAAAGAAATTAGTTTATTAAATAACAGCGGCTTGATTTGCTATATAGTCCTAACTTGGATCAACTTAAATCTAAACTAAATCTATAAATAATAAAAAAAAAATCAAGTTAATTTTAAATTCGCTTTGATCGATTTGGCTTTCGACTTCATAGAGAAATCATCAAAACGAATACGAAGCGCTGTGCACGTTCCGCTCTATTTAGAATCTAGTTAATTACCTAACATTGTGCATAGATCACTTTTCTCATTATAATTAATTATAATAAGCTGATCCATTGTTATAATTAATTGCATAGAATTTAAATAATACAAAATATAAATAACGAATTTATGCAATAACTAACAAAGCTTCTATCTGCACTACTATGGCGTACAAATAGCAATTCAATTACAGACAAAAGAGATGAAAAGATTAATGATAAGAGCATGAAAGCAGAAACAATATGCAAAAATAAGCGCCAATTTTTCTCCTGTCACGACTTTCTAGAAACGATTTTACACAATAATATAGGAAGGATTAGAAGCAAATAGAACACCGTTTAGTTATATAATCGTGAAAATGAGACCATAAGACAAACAGTCTAATGGAGCGAAAAACTAATGTATTTCTTAAAGCAAATCCAATTCGTATCGTAACCTAATCACAATGAGCCTGTCTAGGTTTCCAATTTCTAAAAAGTTATAATTTTCTAGAGCCACTACACTGATAGGGCTTGCTTTACTCGAGACATAAACACAAACATAAATACTGTACGTACATTTCCACAGCTGGACTTTGCATTCTCAGTTGCTGCTTTTGTTTTCTTCTCATCCTCCAGCTCTTCGGCCAAGCCGCAGGAACAATTCTTGCATGCTTTGCGTTTGCCTGTGGTGCTGCAGACACGCAATCCAGCTGGATCTGGCTTTTGTTTGTCCTCCTCATCGAGCAGTTCCTCCTCATCGATTAGCTCCTCATCATCGCCGCTTATCTTCCACACATTCATGCTGGGTGATTTCTTGGCGAACGATAGGCGAGCCGATGAGCCGGTCTCATAGCCAGGTTTCTCGGCTGTCAGAGTGTTGGCCGCAGCATCCTCGCTGCAATTGATGAAGCCTGATAGTTTGATTTCCTGCAACAAATTGGCAGCGGGTCCGATGTAAGCGAACAAGTGCAGTTTGCCGCTCGGTTTGAGCATGTGCAGTAGTTTTACGTAATTGTCGGTCAATTGGGCGCATTCAATTACAATCAGATCGAAACTCGAATTGGCGTAGGAGGCTAAAATGCATGCAATTGGCTATAAACATGCTGACTCACACCCAACATTGTTAACACTTACAAAACGACAGGCGATGCACGTTCTCAACAGCCACCTCGCCGCCGGTGGCCTCTTTCAGTGCCTGTACGCGTTTGTCCAACTCCCCGCTATCCGTCCATATGTAAAGTGATTTTTGTAGGCCTTTAAATTGTTCCATTGTTATGTAGTTGGTTCTTGACTTTTTATACAAATACAATTTTTAAGCGCACACAACGAACTCAGACTGCCAACTGCCCTGCTGACAGATTTAATGCTGCCAACTCGTTCGAAAAAGTATTTTGTCAGTCACAACGAAACGAAACCATCTTAAATCAAAAAAGGAAGTTTTGAAGGAGCACAGATAACATTAAAATTAGTGTAGAATAAAATTAAATTAATATTTAATATTTGTAAATAACTTTTGACATAACTGCGATATTCATTTATTATGTCAAATTAAATTGACGTCACAAACTGCGCTCGGCGACAGATCGTTCTGCAAACCATCGCATAGCTGTTTTCAGCTATCGATATATGCATCGATAAAGATATCGATACGATAACAACAACCCTAGTTTGTTTGGTAGCTGCTGCTAGTGGGGTTTGGTTTCGTTTTTATTTATTATAAATCAGTTACCTGAGTTTAGTTGCACGTTTAAACAGCCGCCAGCCGCAACAAGCTTCAGTCATAGTCGTAGTCGCGCTCTTAACTTAACACATGTTAATTATGGCCAGGCGGGTATTCTAAAGTACAAAAGCAAAAAAAAAAAAAAAAAAAAAAAACAAACCACAACAACAACATCGAAAGCGAAACCGTGAGAAGCGACAGCTGCTGCTTGCTGCGTGTGCTGTGTGCCAGGATACAACAACCTGGAGAAGAAAATATATAAATAGGGACACAAAGTACAAGTGCAAGTGCAAGTAGTGCCAAAGTGTTAAACAAGTTGCCAAAATAAGAATTAAAACAAAAACTACAAAATAATCGAAAAGAAATACAAATAAATTGAAGACTATTTAATCAGCATGTGCTTAAATGAAGAGCTACAGCCAATTTAATTTAAACGCCGTTGCCGCCGCACCGCCCGCCATTGTCTACGAGAACGCAGCTGCACCAGCAGCCGGCAGCAATAGCAACTCCGTGGACCATAGTCAGCTGCACAGCCACAGCCAGGATATGCCGCACTTTGGACTGGGCAGTGCGCCGCCGCCGCAACAGCAGCTACAAGTGCATCATCAACAACAGCAGCAGCAGCAGCAACAACAGCAACAACAGCAGCAACAACAACAACAGATGCAGCTATCCATGCTGCCGGTTGCTGTGCCAGGTCCATACCGGTCGCACATTGAGGAAAAGAAGCTGACGCGCGATGCCATGGAGAAATATATGCGCGAGCGCAACGACATGGTCATCGTCATATTGCATGCCAAGGTGGGTTCAAAACATAAATTAGTAACTCTGATAGGTTGCCTTTCGCGAGAGGATAAACATGCGTGTGTGACGTCACGAGTGTAAACAGTAAGAACAGTTGCGCTTTGAATGCTTTGTTGAATGAAATAAAAATATGAATGTGACACTTGATTAATGTGAACAAGTAGACTTTTTATTGCTATACAAAATATTTATATCTATTTTTTAATAAATTATTCATTTTCACTTGAAATATATAAAAAAAAAAAAAAATTATTAAAAAATTGAATTCAATTAAATTATTTTCAATGCGCAAAATTTTTATTTGACAATAATCATTACAAATTATAAATTTCAATTCAATGGGGAATTCAATAAAATAGATAATATTAAAGTTTTAAGTAGCCAATATTAACTGCTTATAATTAAAGAAAAAATACATGAAAACCTTTTTTTTTAAAAATTAAGTAAATCATAATCCGATAAAAATAAAATAAATCAGTGAAAATTATTATTATTATTATTATTTTTTTTTAATAATACTAGAATTAAAAGTTAACAAACAACAACAAAAATTCACGAACTTAAAAATAATAAATTAAATTATAGCAGTTGAATAAGGAATGGAATAATAATCTAACTTAAAATTTAAATCAGATAATTATTATCTAATATAAATCCTAAATACAAAAAATGATAGATATAATAATCTAATAGTCAATTTTAATTAGATAAGAAATTAGAATTGTTAGTAATTATAAATTTTATAAATATATTAACAGTAATAATTGAACTTTTTTTTAGTATTCTATATTTTTCTATATTTTTTATATATTTTAATTTAGTCATGCACAGATTAGACAACAGATATAGGGCAGCTTTATATAAAATATATGTACATATGTATATCACATATTTATACATATCCATATATATTTACCGTGAGCTCCACTTGCCATTCCACAGCGAATTAGTGCTCCAGTCTGGGCATTTTTTTGCGGTTTAGCGCGGCTATCTTCAAGCGGCGTCGGCGTCGACATCGTCAGCGTCAGCGTCCGCCGTCCAGGCATCGCATCCTTCACAGTTGACTGCATCCAAATTAAGCAAACGGCGGCCACAATAAAATAATTGAAATTAATTATACGACAAATTTAACAGCTGCATTGCTGCGGTTACAATTTGTTACGATTTGTCTCTGTCGATAATCGAAGCGCTGATTATTATAATGATAATTATAATTTTTACATTGTACCTAATGTAATTAATTGATTTAATCCAATTTTTGCTTTTCGCACAGGTCGCACAAAAATCCTATGGCAATGAGAAGCGCTTCTTTTGCCCCCCACCGTGCATTTATCTGTTTGGCAGTGGCTGGCAACGACGCTACCAGGAGATGCTGCAGCAGGGCGAGGGCGAGCAGGGGGCGCAGCTATGCGCGTTCATTGGCATTGGCAGCAGCGATCAGGATATGCAGCAGCTGGATCTCAATGGCAAACAGTATTGTGCGGCCAAGACGCTGTTCATATCCGATTCGGATAAGCGCAAACACTTCATGTTATCGGTGAAAATGTTCTATGGCAATGGCCACGACATTGGTGTGTTCAATTCGAAGCGCATCAAGGTCATCTCGAAGCCGTCCAAAAAGAAGCAATCATTGAAAAATGCCGATCTGTGCATAGCCAGCGGCACCAATGTCGCCCTCTTCAATCGCCTGCGCTCCCAAACTGTCTCCACGCGCTATCTGCACGTGGAGAATGGACACTTTCATGCCTCGTCGACGCAATGGGGCGCCTTCACGATACATCTGCTTGACGACAATGAGTCCGAGTCGGAGGAGTTTCAGGTGCGCGACGGCTATATCCACTATGGTGCGACAGTCAAGCTGGTCTGCTCTG